AAATGCCTTTAAGGATTTCTTTCCATTTCATTAGCTTATCCGGTCGGTTGTCAGCAGTGAAGGGAAATAAAAATCTGTTATGCATGTGATAGAGTTTATTTTAATTCTACTACTGCATCCAAGGGAAACAGATTTGATGATAACTGCAGCCCAACAGGAGAGTGACGGAGAAAAGCAGAGTGGAGGCAGGCGCAGTCAGGAGGAAGTGTGGTCATGGGTGATCTGGTCCATAAAACCAGGACTCTTGTCACTGCTGATTGCAGCTGGCTTCTCAGAGAAGTGTCAAAAGAAGGGCCGGGGACCTCTGGTCCATCCCACAGGGGGCTGAGTGTTTGATCCAACAGGCTCTGGTCTGGGTAGCTCCAACCCACCCATCTCCAACACACAGAAATGAAGAACAAAAAGAGGTGCTTGCAGGTGGGGCAGCATGCGTGGGCCTAGAAGATGCACACTCACAGGAAGAGGAGAAGCGAAAGTGAGCCCAAGTGGTATGCTGGGGTGCCATTACAAAGATTGGAATTCTCTCTGAATGAAACTCTAGGGGCTCTGAGTCCTACAGAGTCTGGGAGAAGTGGCAGACAATGGCAGCGGCCTAGTCCCTTTTAGTCGGGGTGTGAAGCTAACAAGAGCAGGACACCATGGTCATTCTCGAAAGAAACCATCAGGGACCAGGCGGGAGGTCAGCCCAGGGGTGCGGAATTGCTTTCATGACAAATGACAGGTTCACCCCAATAATGCACGTGGGGGTGATGTTTAAATACAGAAACCTCATTATTTTTACTTTGATAGGTGAGTAGAATACGGGCGAAAGGAGGGAGAGTTGAACAAAAAGGGAAGATAGGGGAAAAATTATGCTTTTCATTAAACAGAAAGAGACATTAAATGAATAAAAACTTCAAAACATTATTTCAAACTCAGAGATCGTAACACAGAGACAGATGTATAGGAGACCATTAGGGACACCTGTCAGCTGGCCACTCCTATAAGGCTCCAAATAAGCCCCGCTTCTGTTTGGACCTGCCCCTGGTCTCCCTTAAACAATAGGCCTGTACCCTTCTGAGGCTTGGCTTGGCTTCTATTGTGTAAGAACTGAAGTGCTCTCTTGTCTGCTGAAACTGCTAGAATACTAAATTTGTCTCTCGCAGCTTAAATGGCATTTTAAATAAATACTATGAATTGATGAAATGACCAATTATGTTAAGTACCCCAGTCTGCTGTAATCCAAACCAAATCTTACCCCATTATCCTCAAAACTGAGAGGTGATTCTGCATCCCCCTCTAGCCAAGGATTCTGAATCAAAATACAGACAATACTTGACACCCAAGGAGGACCTCAAGTACTTCCAGTTCGTTCTCACAATTGGTTTTGCACTGGAAAAAAATAAATAAATAAATGTTCTCCATTTCTACTCCATGCTTTGTAAACCAAACAACCATTAGGTCACATAAACTGAAACTGGTTTCCTATTGTTAATTTGTGTCATTTTGGTTTCAACATCACTTCAGATTTTTACTTCCATTATTTCTCCCAGGATAGGGATGGTGAGCCTTTTAGGTCTTTTTTTTTTTTTTTTTTTTTTTAATTTTGGGGAAGGGTCTACAGGGTGTTCAGGGTCTCATTACTAGATTGAACTTGTAATGACCTGTTTGTTTACAGACTCTCAAAAGCTGGGATTACAGGCGCACGACCCCATGTCCAGTCTCAATTGCCATTTCAGTGTGCCCTGGGGGCAGGTCCAGCACGGCAGACCCAGGATCGAACCCCAGGCCTCTGCACCTGCTTGCAGGCACTTTAATCCACTGAGCTATTTGGCCGGCCCAGAGCTTTCAATGATACGCAGAGTCCACTGCAGCACACGTGCCCTAGCTTCACTGCCACTGCCCCAGGACAGCACATTCCGGGTGATGTCTAATTTAGAATTTTTCAATTTGATAATGGTTCAAAGGGCATACACATGCTGAAACATCCTTTAAGTTTTGATCGTTTTCCAGACTAGTGAAGGGAGATACAGTCCTCTCCCGTGATGCAAGCCGCAGCTGCCACTGGCCACAACCGGATCCCAAGGAGAGACCCCTAGCACCACCACGTGCCATGCTGCCATGACAGGGCATGCGGCTGAACACATTTGCAGTCTATGACATTCTTTCTCAGCTGACAATGTCTGGATGTCACATCCTAAGTCCAGGAGCACCTGCACCGCCCTGCAGTGGAACGTGGTGCACGTGCCGCACACACCCATCACCAAGTCTCTAGGGCTGGGCTCCCCGTGACGTCACTTCCCCAGTCCGTCTATTTTCCAAGGCGGTGCTCAAGCATTGGCACCCCAAGAGGCGGCGGCGCCCGCTCCCACCATCTTGTAGCAATAAGCTTCTTTCTTCTGCATGCCGACCGCACATCTGTACTCCCTTAGTCCCTGGGTAGCTGCACACAGTAGGCCTTTTCTTGAGCATTCTGGCCTCCTAGGCCGCAACCCCAAGCTTTCTGTGTCCCTTTAAGAAATGGGGTCTGATTATCCGAAAAAAAGTTCCTCCTAATTACTAGAGGGTCAAAAAATAAAAGGATATTTGAGAATAAAGAGGAGAAAAATATATATATTAAGTATGTTTCCTTCTATTCAATTCTAATCTAAACCATCCATTGGTGGGACTGGGCAGGTCCTTTCTTTACATGTCCACATCTTTCTTTGCACAACGCGTGCCCGTGGACATTAACTATTTGTGGCTGTCCTAGTAACAAGTGCCCAAAGACCACAAAAATACTAATTAGGAAGACACCATTTGAAAAAAAAAAAAAAAAATCTTATGATAGAAATGTCTGAAGACCTCTAAACAGACCTAACAAAATGATTAAACATCTCAAAAAAGAAATTCCTGTTCATAAGTTCTTGCCTGATCTCTCAAAACCTTCACCAAGATGTACCAAAAACAATACTGAATTTAAATAGATACAGAGCCAATGAGCAACTACAATTTGTGTTAGCGTAATTCCCACTGCATAAGCAACCGTGGAAGCTACACTCTCACCCTGCTAACACTCAAGTTCACGAACTTCACCTTCTCTCATGTTTTTACCCTTCAGAAACAAGGAAAAAACAAAAACTGATCTGTATAGAGCAAATCCCACACAATGTGGAACAGAATGAACAAAAATCCTAGAAGGAAAAGTAAAGGAAACACCATCTCTTTTCTCAAAATATTCCAAACATAAATGATACCTGTACTGTTGTTATATTTCTAGAGGAAAAACGAAGGTGCAAATAACTTTAAAATTCACTGCAAGGGCTGGCCAAATAGCTTAGTGGATTAAAGTGCCTGCAAAACCAGGACTGGGGGTTTGATCCCCGGGCCTGCTGTGCCGGCCCCACCCCCGGGGCACACTGAGACGGCCATTGAGACTGGGTGTGGTGGCGCTTGCCTGTGATCTCAGCACTTGGGAGGCTGTAAACAGGCGGATCACTATGACTCTGATCTAGTAGTGAGACCCTGAACACTCTGTAGACCTTCCCTAAAATACAAAAAAAAATAAAATCCACTACAGAAAAACTCCAAGGAGGATCATAACTGGTTTTCACTTACATAGTCTGAACAGGGAGAACAGATTTTTTAAATTATGTATTAATTTTTGAAAGTGGAGGAAATTCCTTTTACTTTATTAGAAACTGAAGATATCTATGATGACTATTACAATTAGGACTAAGCGAACTTGCCTGCCCACATTTCACCTAAATGCAAAGAAATTCTTAAGTTCCGGATTCCATGGACTGTCAAAAAGACAAAATGTAATTGCATGGGCTATAAAGCGCCAACCAAAACGTCTCTCACAATTGACAGAGGTACTCTAGAAACTTAAGATGTCTCTTAAGTTTTTTTAGCTACTTTTTGTTGGTGTTGTACAGGGTCTCACTACACAGCTAGGACTCATAGTGAGCCTCCTGTTTTCAGCCTCCTCAGCACTGGGACTACAGGCATGCACTACCACGCCCAGACTCAGTCACCTGCTCAGTGTGTGCAGCATGTGGTGCCAGGGATTGAACCCCGGTCCCTGCGCTTGCTAAGCAGGCGCTTAGTCCTCTGAGCTATCTCGCTGGCCCTAGCCACTTTTAATATTCTACTTTTTTGGCCTCAGTGTGTGCTTTTTAAAGGTCAGAGGCTAAACAGCTGTAAACCAATGAAAAGGCACTAAAATCCCTCATCATACACCAAAGCAGTTGTAAAGTGCTTAATACAAACAAATCCATCTGCTTTTGGCAGCTGTGCCGCCTTGACTCCTGGCCAATCAAGAAAGGTGAAAGGAAGAGGACACTGAAGACCCAAGGGGGCCAGCTCATCCACAGAGCACACATCCAACATAGCCATGACCCCAAAATAACTTCGGAAGTCTTTGGAATGCATCTTTTTGCTATTTTTAAGTATTTATTCCTCTTTAACCTTGCCCATTTCAAAACTTATGGCAGCAGGGCATGGGTGGCATGTGCCTCTAATCCCAGCTGATTTGAAGGCTGAACCTTAAAGACTGGGAAAAGGAGTTTAAGGCCTGCTCGGACAACACAGCAAGAACTCAACTCAAAAACAAAACAATTTGAATTTCTTGGGCACACCTATCAGAGCCAGCCTCCCAAGCAGCCCACATGGATATCCAAAGACAGCGAGGAACCATTCCCTGTCAGCCCAAGCACTGGAAATATGTGAAAGGATTTGCTTTTATCAGCCTGGCATACACTGCTGGCAAGTGCCCATGGTCAAACAATTCCAGCGCCACCAAAGCGACCCAAACACTTTTGGAACCTGACCACTGACAATGTGCCGAAGCAGCAGTCCTTGGAGACCTGGCTTCAGATGTACGATTCACAGCAACCAAGTAGGAAGAAAGAGAGAGCAGTCGGCACACAGACCAAGCAACGCAGTCACGCTTCTCCAGAGAATAGCCATTCTACGCTTGGCACCAAGCGCAGGAGTGGGCAAGGGCATGGTGGGACAGGAGGAGGTGCTCCTAGACTTACCTTGCAGAAGGGCTCCATTTCTCTTGAAGAAAGTACTGCCCGGCCAGATGGGTGGACCTGATGTGCTGAAAGAGGAGACAAACACATGTGAGGCTTTGCAAACCCGCTGACCCTGACTCCACTGCGCTGCTCCAAGCAGCTCGGAAGGGCCGGAAAACATCTTCCCGACTATGCATTATTGATACTCTCCAAAAACGTCAACTGTAAAAACCACTAGGTTTATCTAATTATACACAGGCATCAAACTTCACGCACGACTGTCTGTGCGAATGTTCCAGTTACCATCTGGGCCCTGGCCAGACTTATTCCTAAAATTCCGTGTGGGTAGACAAATGAGAAAGTGTACTTGGTTCAACAGCATTGCTGAGAACTTCCGAATTTTTGCTTACCTGTTCATGATTTCATAAAAATGTAGACCATATTTACAGTGTATATAAAATGTCAGAAATACATGTAGAATTAACACACACACACACACACACACACACACACACACACACACACGAGAAACAACTCCTAGCCAGGTCTCTTAGATCAAATGGGTTTTCTGGCATTTGCTGGTACCACCTGCCTGCTACAAATAACAACTTGCCTTTCTTGGCATCTCCACCACCAATATTTTCTATACAGGTGCGACCTCGATCCACACCCGCCCTCCCCCTAGGCTCTTGTTTCACACCCTGTTTTCAATTTCTTGGCTTAAAATGTTGCGCTCCAAACCCTATAAAATACTTTGCAGATAGGGTACAGCTCCCAGGCTGGTAACGAGACAGGCAAGAAAATAAGAAGACTCAGCGAATCCCAGGGACACTTAAAGCATTTACAGATGAGCATTTTCACTGCTCTAAGACATCCAGAGGAAAACTTTATAAATAAAAACACCGTCACGGTAGAAAGTAGGTTATTCCAAATCAAAGTCTGGTTTAAGATTGATGTTAGAAAAAGCCCGTAGTTCAAAACGTTACTATATTTAGTCCAAGAGTCAGCATAAATAACGTCCAGCAAATAACACACAACAAATGATATCGATGAATGTAGTAGCAGTCACACTGAACATTAAAAAATAAAAAGATTGGTCTGAGGCGGACCCAGCAGGCACACCTGAATTCCTATGCATGGCATGCTTTAGCAGTTGACAAAGGTCTCCTGTTATGTGGGACAGCAATACTGTTAGTAAGGGAAATGCAGGCAGTACTAGTCTGTCTGACAAAGTACCATCACCAACAGTATAAACAGTATGGCAAATGTAAGTACATGCGCGGCAAGTAGGGTAGGAAGAATAAAATGTCAAGAAAATGGCCAATGTTCTAGAAAAACACATGACAGCTGTATCTCTTCTGGTTGTGTTTCACAGACACTGGGGGGGGGGGGGGGTTATGTTTTGTTTTGTTTTTTGCTGTTGTTGTTTTTAAGTAAATTAAAGGTTTTTGGCAACCCTGGGCCAAGCAAGGGTATCAGTGCCATTTTTTCCAACGGGTCAGGGGATCATTAGCTTTTGTTGGGGGTACTGGGAATTGAACTCAGAACCTTGCATTTGCCAGGCGCTTAAGCCACTGAAATATCTCCCTGGCCCTCATTAGCATTTTTTAGCAATAAATTATTTTTAAATTAATGCTCTGCATTGATTCTTTTTTTCTTTTTCAAATTTCAGGGAAGGGCCTACAGGATGTTCAGGGTCTCACTACTAGATCAGACTCAGTGATCCACCTGTTTACAGCCTCCCAAGAGCCGGGATTACAGGCGCGCACCACCATGCCCAGTCTATCTGCATTATTTCTTACGTACAATGCTACTGCATACTTAACAGGCTTGAGAGCAGTGTGAGCAGAGCTTGCAACTGCACTGGGGAGCCAAAGGATCTGCGCGGCTTGTATTCACGCAGCATTTGCTCCAATGCAGCAGTCTGGAATTGAACCTGCAACATCTCTGCGTGTACTATGGACCTGGATGTTGATGAACCGCTTTGTTTTACTTTGTTTTGGATCCACCACATTCCAGGTGAATGTCAGGAGTGCATCTCAGTCATGGTTCTTCCTGCAGCCCGGCTTCTCAGCCCTGGCAGCTGTGGCCTCAGGATGATCAGGAGCCACGGAGGACAGCAGACCTGGCTGGTGGCTCCAAGCTACAGGACGAGGGCGGCAAGCGGACGTCGCTCCATCTGATTCCCTCTGAGAGCCTCTAAGGCTCAAGGTTGCATGAGGAATAATGTGCATTAAAATGCTTAGGATGATCTTTTAACAACCCCAGCAAGCTCCCAGGGTTTTACCATCTTATTATTTTTTTTTTTTATAACAAAGCAAGAAACAGCAGGCTGGCTGTTGGCAATACTGAAATCACCTGATTCATAAAGATATTCAAAAACGGAAGACTTCATTAGAAAGGGGTTGGTGCCTCTACCGAATTCAGTAATTGAGTATTACTGCAGGAGTCAGAATATCCAGCTTACTGCCATCCAAATCTCCTCTTTATCCTGACCTTGATTTGGCTGAAAACTGAGCAGACGCCAGGGGATGGAGCAAATGTGAGGAACTGAGGTCAGATAAACCCACGGTTTAGATAAGGAAAATTCTCTGTAGGATAGAAATCTACGGACAGGCTTCTACCATATCCTTTTAACATGCTTAAGTCACTGATAACTATTCTACTGCCATTCGGAGCTCCCTCCAATCAGTGTTCTAGGGGTGCAGAGAGATTTGGACTGGCCCACTGCATTTTCTGGCCTGGCCCCCCCAATGGAACTCAAGAATTCCCGGGGGGTCTCTGTCCAGCTCAGGGTCAGCCGGCTCCTCCTATGCTAACTGCAAAGTTTTTGAGCTCCTATACCCCGAATTCTATCTTCTTCTTTTGGAAGATCCCTCCATAGAGATTGTCTAAGTGTTGAGGATTTCAAGACTTAAGAAAGCTTCTATGGAAAATTGTACAAAAGACCCTAAGGAGAAAAAAAGTGTAAATCCTATCTTCTATGACCTCCAAGATCAAATTGAGGCACGTATCTAGCCCCAACCTCCTCTGATTCTATCTAAAGGGACACAAAATGCCCACAGAAAAGCTAATGGCTCCTGCGACTGCTGGCTCGGGGAGGGCGGGCAGCAAACTACATTTTCTCCCCCTTGAGCTGCAGGTACCCCTGGCTGATTGGCTTTTCAGGGCAATGTTAGTGAAAAACGCCTACATAGGACATTACTTTAAAGTGTATATTAATTATGGTATTTTATAAAGTCATTAGTGGTCAAAGTGTGGGAGGGAGGCCCCCCGAGCGGCAGGTCCCGAGGACAGAGGGTGGGAGTGGGTGCACAGGGAAAACGGCGCTCCTCAGATCCAGTCAGTTGAGTGTGGTGCCTTGGAGGTGGTCACTCCACAAAGAACAGTCACCGAGGCCCCCTTAGCTGAGCGGGTTTTAACCCCTTTACAATAATCTTCATAGTGCCTGATGCTAAGATTATAAACTGCCCCTTCCTGGGCACAGGTAATCAACACCTTTCCACAGGACACCCTCCAATTCCAAGGGGTGAGAAGGGCAGAAATCACCTTCCAGTTCTAGATCTGAGGGACTGAAGTGAGAGCCACATGGGTGCTTAGTGAGGACCAGACCCAGTTCCCTAGCCAGCCCGAGGTGCCACACAGACGCACGGTGACAGGCCCATATCATGTCACCTCTTCAGCTTTCCTCTCCTGTTCTTCCAGCACTGTGACGCGGAGCGGTCTTTCCCCACGGAAGAAGGCTGTGCATGGTATTTTGTTAGGAATCTCTCCAAGGCAAAGGCCCAGGATAGAAAAAGCCATCAGCCTGACCATATGTGAAGCATACGTGGGCTCCTGTTCTTGGAAACAATGCAACGAGGAAGCCACCAGGGTCTGACGTGCTGACAAAGGCCCACAACTTCAGCAGCAGAAGCTAAACCCACGTGGTGACAAAAGCAGCAGACCAACAGGTTAAGAAGGCTTTGCTGGCTTCTGAAGGGGCAGTGGACTACACTGTTCCAACTGTGCCAGCAAGTCCCCAGAGACCAGCGACACCGCCCCACCAGCACGCTAGCGTCTGCCAGGGGTTCCCAGCCCCCAACCGTCTGCAGGCTGCACAGTCTCCCCTCATTATTCCAGCTCCCAAAGGGACACGGCAAGCCAGCAGATCACACAGGCCTGAGGTGGCTCTGGCCAGTGTGATATGATCTGTCACGTGTCCACCAACACCCCTGAGCTTTGATCATTGTGAGAACCAGCCGGATTAGTAAACTCAGACCCTGGGAAGGTCTAGCAGTCTCCACACCTGCATTCAGCAGTCTGGCCTTTCCGGGGCCTAATGGGACGCAAGCTGAGAAACTGCTTTCTGCCAAGCATGAACAAATACACCTGAAAGGACAGGGCGCTCAACGCGGGTGAGCCTGGGAGGCGCACTCAGAGAGACACCAGAACATAGACAAGTACTATCTGATTCCACGCACAAGGGGTCCCCAGAGAAGTCACAGTCATACAGACAGAAGGCAGAAGGGTACCTGCTGGAAGCAGGGGCCGGGGGATTGGGGGTGGTCTTTGATGGACACAGAGTTTTACCAGATAGAGTTCTCCAGACAGGCTAAACAGCAATGCAAATACACAACACTACTGACAGGTTATGGCCCTAGTAAGAATTGCTGAATTACTATGGTTGTCGTCTTATATGGCTGAAGCCCTTAAAACAGCAGCTTCTCTTCCCAATGACCACTTCCTCCTCCTTCCCCACTCCAGTCCTGGATACAACTTCCTTTCACCTTTCCCGCCCACACAAGGGAGCCTCCAATCAGCTCCTTGTGTGTCCCTGACCCCGCCTCTCAAGCTCCGCCCAGAGCAAAAGTCCATAGTCTCATCCTCCCTGTCTCAGGTCAGAACATCTGCCCATCTCCCTGCCCTGGATCCTCTCCATGTGTTTAGAGTTAATAAAGGCTTTCCCTCCCCCATTTCTGCTTCTCTGCTGCGCTGCCACCACTGCCACCATCGCTGTTGCCTCTAAAACCTATCAACTACCAAATGACGCACTTAAAAATAGTCAACTTGGGAGGCTGAGGCAGGAGGGTGGCTGTGAGTTCAA